AAGACTAGATAATCTCCATGACTCTACATTCTGTAACTCTATAAATTATGAGCATTTTATTTTAACCAATTTAGATTTCTCTTTGAGATTATTAAATAAAAGTAACAGCAGCACACATGGAAGAATCAAACTGAAGAGCTCCCCAGGAACATTCTTATGTCTTTGTATGGTCTCATTTTCACATGCAAAGAGGAGCACCCCCCCCCCAAAAAAAATATGTATCTGAAAACAATCCAAGTAATATCCAAGTAATATTTTTACCACACAAGCTTACAAGCTTCTGGGGTAGAAAAAAATGGTAGAACAGTAAAAATGTTCATGGAAAACCACCACCACCATAATACCAAAATAAAAAACAGATGCTCTACATACAGTTATTGCTACATGACAGAAGCTTTCATAGCTTTTCAATACTCCTAAGGAGTCCTGATAGAAAACCAATGTTTTGTTTTTTTTTTTTTAGGGGTATCTAACACAAGATTTGATACTCTTTATTAAATTGCTATTTATTAAGATAGAATTCTCAAACTTTTTTGAGCAGCAATACTGGCATGGCTTCAAACCAGGTGCACTGAGAAACTCATAGAAATGTGAGACCTTTGCTCTTCAGAGATCCTCACAATTTAGTTGGGGGAAAATAGGCCATAAATACCGGGGAAATTAAACAGCCATAAAATAAAAATACTAAATCAATAAGACAATTAAAGGGACAGGGCAGCATGACAGGAGACGCCAAGTCACCTCGAGCTGGACTGATCAGGAGAAGAAGCTGGGCTTAAAGTCAGAGGAGGCTGGAATGGGCAGCTCTAGACCTGATTGTCAAGGAGTATGAGGCTGTGGGGATGCATGGCCCCTAGGAGGAAACATAATAATAATATTCTATCTAAATGTACTTTTGCAACATTAAACCTGAAAAGGACAAAGTATCAATCTACAGACTGAGTTCTTTGTGCATGTAACTGATCTGGTCAACTTTATACTTTTATAGAATTTAGTAACATGCTGTAAACGTAAGGCATGCCACACTGGTTGAACAAGTGAATGAACTACACACCAACAGATAAGTCCAGACATAATAAACTCTGACAACCTTTGTACCATATTCCAGTAAAATCCAGTCTCTGAAGTAAATGAACACAAGGAAGTAACTAAGTATTTGAGATCTCTACCATTCTCAGGCATCAGTTAAGAATTTGAAATTGCAATTAAGACAGGTCACAAAAAAAAAAAAAAAAAAAAAAGGCCACAAAAAAAAATTAAAAAAAAAAAAAAAAAAAAAAAAAAAAAGCTTAAAAATAACTTGATTAATACAAATATGCTTGGCCTTGGGACAAATTTTACTCAAATTCAAAGAAAGTTAATTTTGAGCATTCTGTGTTTTAAAAAATTATGTGGGCAGGGCAAATTCTTAAGTTTTACTACATGATTAAATCCAACAAGACACCCAGTTAAAAATATTTATTCCTGGGCTTCCCTGGTGGCACGGTGGTTAAGAATCTGCCTGCCAATGCAGGCGACACGGGTTCGAGCCCTGACAGGAAGATCCCACATGCCGCAGAGCAACTAAGCCCGTGTGCCACAACTACTGAGCCTGCGCTCTAGAGCCCGCAAGCCACAGCTACTGAGCCTGTGAGCCACAACTACTGAAGCCCGTGCGCCTAGAGCCCGTGCTCCACAACAAGAGAAGCCACCGCCATGAGAAGCCCGCGCACCGCAACGAAGAGTAGCTCCCGCGGTCTTCCCTGGTGGCGCAGTGGTTGAGAGTCCGCCTGCGGATGCAGGGGACACGGGTTCGTGCCCCGGTCAAGGAAGATCCCACATGCCGCGGAGCGGCTGGGCCCGTGAGCCATGGCCGCTGAGCCTGCGCGTACCGCAACGAAAAAAAAAAAAAAATAGTAAAGCCCGGCGCGCAGCAACAAAGACCCAATCAATGCAGACAAAAATAAATAAATAAATAAATTTATTTTTAAAAAAATTTATTCCTCATAGATCATGAAGAAAATCACACCTATATAAATATGTCACAGCAGGTTAGCAGATGTATTTGGTAAGCTGTAATGTGAACACATTTCCCTAATTAGAATACAATGTTTATTCGTTCAATAAACATTTGCAGTGTCAATATCCTAGGCAGTGCCTTCAAGATAAAGTCAGAGTAGGGCCCATCCTGCTCCTCAATAGGAGGTAAAACAGGTACGTACCTAAATACAAGGTAGAAAGTGTAAATGCCATGAGAGGAGATGTGCAGTTAAAGCATTTCAGGAGAGAAGAGGGAGCTGTTACTCTGGCACAGAAATATAACCTTTACGATCTCTGTAAAGCAATTTCATAACAGCTCTTTTAGGCTCACAACAGCAACTTAGGAGAGATGTTTTCCTGCTATCATAGATGAGGAAACAAGCAGAAAAAGACTGATCATGTTCCAAAATGACACAGTCAAAGGAGGAATCAGGACTCTTTGTATTGTATTTTCTCTGGGGTAGGAGTCCAACATATGGCAAGCCTTTTGTAAAAGGAAAGAGTATTTTGGTACTGCAAGCAATCACATCCTTATGTATGTATGTGCATATTATTTATATACATGTGTGTGTGTTAACCTTGATTTCCATTAACAGGTGTGCTTAAAGCAAGGCAAAGCAACTGTGTACTATAAATATTAAAATAAATAAATAAACCTCCACTGGATTTTAACAGAATGAGAAAATAAAGACAATGTTTCTTTCTGCAACAACTTGCTTATTTCTTCTGTAATCTTCACCCATGTCTAAATAATATTCTAAAATTGGTCTGCTCCTGAGATCGGGCAAGTTAGTTCTGCCAATAAATATCTTTACCAAAGGATACATCAAAACATTTTCAAAAAGCATTAAAAATTAAATAATGCCATCAACTCTTCAGTTATCCAAGAGAGAGTCACATGTAACCTATCAGCAGCAGTTATTGATCACGACATGTTGCACGAATGAATGAATATTTGTAGGCATTTTAAAATCCCAGGCCTGTTGCTCTTTACGCAACGTTCCGCCTCGAGTCACCGCCTCACCAAGGTGCACGCAAGGAATGTAAATTTCAGTACAATTAGGATATACTTAGGGAAGCAAATCTGATGCAGGTGAAAACACTAATCCCACAGATTAGAATCACCCACACCTCTGCTCTCCAAGGTTAACTCTGGAGAAGCGGCACTGTAGCATGCAACATCGGTAAAAGAAAACTGACACTCTCTGAGCAAACACTTTTCACAAATATCACCTATTCCCACCCACACCTTTAATACACGACTATACCTAATCCGGCTAATTCGAAGAATTCAGTCTCCTCGCCACTAAGACTGACTTCTCAATTACAGTTTCTCGAATCCCTCCTCCCCCCAAAAGAGAATGCACATTAAACAGCAACGATAAAAGGCAGAAGATACCGGGTTCCGATCTCCACCGTCTCCCCCGCCCTCCCTTCGCCATTACACCCCAAGTGGTTTGGTCGCAAAGGTGAACTAGTTTGCTCTTCAGGCACTTGTCCACCGCTGTCACCCGCCCTGACCCCTTGCACACTCCCGGGCAGCCACCAACTCCGCCCCGGAGGGAGAGCAGGCCGCCACCTGCGCCGGCCCCACCCGCGGCCCCGGCCCGCGCCCGCCTCGGGCCCCGCAGCCCGCTCCCCGCAGGACACCCTGGGCGCCCCGGCCGGGCCACAACCCATTCTTCCTCCAAACTCCATAAGCCTCCCCCGCTCGCCGGCCCCGCTCCCCGCCGCGCCCGGCTCGCCCCGGCCGCCGAGGGCAAGAGGCCGGCGGCTGGGCGGGTCCCGAGCCGCCGGGCCCGCGACGCCCCTCGCCATCCGGAAAGCCTCCCCCGCGGCTGGTGCCCCGGAGCCCTCGGCGGCCCCGGGCTAGCGGGGGCCCGGAGGCCGGACTGCGGGCGCCGGGCCTACTCACCGGGAGCGGACGAAGCGCGGCGGCCGACGCGGCCCCGGGCCTGAGGGGCAGGACGCGGCCTCGCGCGCGGCCCTGCCCGGGCCCTGGTCGGCGCGGCGAGCCGGGCGCTCACTCCAGTCGCCGCCGCCGCCGCCGCTGCTGCTTCGCCACCTCGGCCGCCATTTTGATTCAACCCCTCTCCTCCGCCCCCCCCACCCCCCGGCCCGGCGACCGCGGCTGAGGCTGCTCCGGCTCCTCCTCCTTCCGGAGGCTGGGAGGCCGACTCCCTCCGCTGGCCGAGCTTCCCGGCCCCCTGGCGTACCCCCTTGGCCCGGCGGCGGACCCAGGGTGCTGCCGTCACGCCCGGGACTCCCCGCGCGCGTGAGAAAGGGAAGGACGCGAGGCCGCGCCCCGGGCCTGAGAGCCCGGGCTGAGGGCGGGAGGGAAGTGGGGGCCCGGGGGGCGCGCGGCCACCCGCGCAGCTGCTTCCCAGGCTCAGGCTGCGTCCGCAGCGGGCCTGCCAGAAAGGCCGCGCGAGGCAGACCCGCCCGTGATGCCGGCCCTCCCTCTGGCCCCTCCGAGGAGCCCGGGCCCCCGCGCCCGCCAAGTGCGCTCTCGGCCTCACGCTCCCAGGGAACTGACCGGACGGGCCTCGCCACCGCATACTTTTCCTTTAGAGAAGGCGCCACTCCACATCCCGGAATTAGGGAGGAGAAACAAAGTCGGTGTTCACCCGGATAATTACGAGAAAGTCCGGGTTTTAAGAAATGAGTGATAAAATGGTGACGTAAAGACAGGAGGAACTCGCACTGAAGATGCTGGAGGTTCTTTTCAGACGCTTCCCCTTAAGTACTGTGTGGACGGCAAGGGGGTTGGCTCGGCCCTGAAACGGAGCGTGCACGAGAGCTCGTAAAGGCCGCGTAAAGTAGCGGCAGCCCGTGAAGAGGGGCTGGGAGGCGTCCGTGTCAGAGCACACAGCCCGACGCTTAAAGCCTCCGGCCGTTGGAGCAGGGCAACCGGACGGATTTCCACTCGGAACGCGGTTTCCGCGAGCGCCGGTCTCCCGCCGGAGCTGGCCCGGCGGTCGCCTCCCCTCCTGCGCAGGCGCAGTGCCTCCTCAGGGCATGGAGGTGGTGGGTCTGCTGCTGTGTGTGGCGGCGGCGGTCCTGACATGGGGCTTCCTCTGGGTTTGGGACTCCTGGGAGCGAATGAAGAGTCCGGAGCAAGCTGGCCTGCCGGGAGGCGGAAGCCGGACTCTGTTGGTGACCGCGCACCCCGACGATGAAGCCATGTTCTTTGCTCCCACCGTTCTAGGCTTGGTCCGCCTGCGGCACCAGGTGTCCCTGCTCTGCTTCTCCGCAGGTAGGAAGCTGTAGGCGGGGCGCGGGGAGCCGGGGCGGAGAAGGCATTTAGGCGCCAACCTGTCTCACTCGACTTCTTCCCGGAGGGGGTCTCTGTCGGAGGGAACCAGGTGAATACACTGGAGGTCCTTTATCCGGGCGCTTCACCGAGAATCTGTGGCCCCAGCCTGAGGGCTGTAGGGCCGGCTTCCCAGGTGCGTTGGGAGGCGTGGGCAGCGTGCGAGCTCCGCTCTCCTGTAGAAGGATCCGGGAGCTCACATTTGCTTCCATTCAGTACCTCCATCCGCGTTGGGAACTGCGACTGTAATCAGTATGCTGTGGAACATTTTCATTTCCAGGAGGGCCAAGAATAACGACCAAACAGAATGTGGGCTGTGTCACTCCTGATCAACCCTTCAGTCCACTTTGTGCTAGAAAGATGCATGGAGCAAATTGAAGAGAGAATTCATTAGACTAGAAAATAATCTTATAGGTCATTTTAGAGTTCAACTCCACCCAGCTTTCACTGGGGCCTTTCAAAGAATTAAGTCCTTCTTTACCATACAGAAAAGATGGAATGAGAAAACAAATTAACCATGATACTGGGTTATGGTGGTAATTGCACAGCTGTATAAATGAAATAATTAAAGTGTACATATATAATGGGTGAACTTTATGGTATGTAAAAATCATACCTCAATAAAGCTGTTTTTAACAAATGCCCAGTGACCTCTTTTCCCATTTGGTTGTTTCGTACCAGTTCTTTTTCTATACAGATTTTTCTCAATAAGCACATTTTATAAGACTTTATATTTTTCACCAAATATTACCTTTTCATTAATTTCTCAAATATTTATTAAAGATTTTTGTGCACTGCTTACTATTAAAATGGCCAAAATCCGGAACACTGACAACACCAAATGCTGGTGAGGATGTGGCACCAAGGTACTCTCATTCATTGTTGGTGGGAACGCAAAATGGTTCAGCCACTTTGTAAGGCAGTTAGTTTGGTAGTCTCTTACAAACCTAAACATACTCTTACCAAACCATCCAGCAGTAGCCCTCCTTGGTATTTACCCAGAGGAACTGAAAACATGTTCACACAAAAACCTGCACACAGATGTTTATAGAAGCTTTCATAATTGACAAAACTTGGAAGCAACCAAGATGTCCTTCAGTAGGTGAGTGGATAAATAAACTGTGGTCCATCCAGACAATGGAATATTAGAGGCAAAAAGAAATGAACTATCAAGCCATGAAAAGGAAGAATTTTAAATGCGTATTACTAAGTGATAGAAGCCAATCTGAAAAGGCTTTGTACTGTGTGATTCCAACTATGTGACAATCTGGAAAAGGCAAAACTATGGAGACAGTAAAAAGATCAGTGGGGATCAGGGGTTGGGATGAGAGGAAGGATGTATAGACAGAGCAGAGAGGATTCTTAGGGCAGTGAAAATACTCTGTATGGTATAATATAATGATGGATGTGTGTCATTATACAGTTGTCCAAACCCGTAGAATGTACAAGACCAGGAGTGAACCCTAATGTAAACCATGGACTTGGGGTGATTATTATGTGTCAGTGTAGGTTCATCGATTGTAACAAGTGTAACATCTGGTGGGAGATGCTGATAATGGGGGAGGCTGTACGTGTGTGAGGGCAGGGAGTATATGGAAACTCTCTGTACCTTACCCTCAATTTTGCTGTGAACCTAAAACTGCTCTTTTAAAAAAAAGTCTTCATAAAAAAACGTTTTTAATTAAAAAAAAGTCTATCTGCCAGGACTTATTCTCTGCCCTAGGAATAAAACTGAAAACAAGCTAGGTGAGGACCATGTCCTTCTGAAACTTATATTTTAAATATTTACCTATGTTTATAAGAACTAGATATATAGCCTTTTAAATGGTTTCATACAGATAAACCTTAGTTAGTCATCCCTTATTATACATATATTTAGGGTTTTTCCCCCCCAGGTTATCTCTATTACAAATAATCTCTTTATGTATAATATTTCTTGATTTGACTAACATTTTTTTCCTTCAAAATCTTTTGTTGCCAGTAAGATTAAACCATTTTTCATAAATATTGAGAATTTCAATCTAAGCACTTTTCTTCTCAGTTTGTGCTATTAAGGATATTAACTGCAAATATATGCAAGTAATGGCCTCATATTTTGTTTGCTTTTAATTTATGTTTCATATTACAACTATGGGAATCAAATTATAAGCAAAATTTGTTACAAGATGCCTGGATTTTATTTACAAAGTATTATAGGTACACAGGATTCTTAATAAATTTCTCCTTATTTTTTAGTAGGTTGGGGCCAGAAATCAAAAATTTTTTAAGTAAAAAATATAACACCACGCCCTTGACACATACTAAAACTCAGTATCTTCATTGTTGTCTTTCATTATTTCCTCTGAATCCAACTTTCTGTTTAAATTGTTTTCTCTTGTAATTTTTTAAATTACTTTTAAAATACCCAACTCGTTTAAAAAATGTACGGACTAAACATTACCCACCTTCCTGATTTATTCTAACCTGAAAAACAGGAAGTTAATAACGTGATATAACATAATGAAAGCTGTAATTGACAGAGAAAAGACTGTGGACTCAAAATGGGGAAAAGCATCAATTGGATTAAGGAAACTTCTCCAAAGAGCTTTTCTTTTGAGCTGGTCTTTAAAAATAGGACTTAAGTATACAGGAAATGGGGCAAGCCATTCAGGGCAATAGTAAAAGCATAAGTAAGTCTTGGACTCATTTGAATAACTCATTCTAACTACATCTCCAGTTTTAAGGGGTAGGGAGAAGCAGGAAAAAATGTATTTTGTTATTAGTTGCTCATTTAATCCTCTCAGCAATCCTATGATAGGCATTACACGTATATATAATTTGTTTTTCTCATTTTTTAACTGTGGAAACTGAACCACGAAGTTAGGTAACTTGACCAAAGTGAAGAGCTAGAACACAGAGGAGCCAGGACCCAGTGGCTCTTTCCTGTTCTAAACCACTGCACCCACACACATTGCCTTGCTGCTGTATCAGTTAAGGAAGTAACCATTTTGATTCCCAGTGTATGTTCCACGAAATACCAGTTCCTCAAGCTGCTATTAAAAAAAAAAATGTTAATACCTTGACCTGACAAGTTTAGGGAAATTAACCGGATGTGCTATTCCCCCTTTAGAGGAGCACGGTCCTTATTAGACTATCAACATCTTGGAGAAGTCTTGCTATAAAAAATTCCTATTTAATTTTGTTTAGTCCAGCATTTCTCCGATTTATGTAACCATTGAAGTACCTATTAATATACACATGAGAGGAAGCCACAGTAGGCAGTAGGGTGTTGTAGAATGCATGTGCTGGAGAATTAACACAGCCAGTTCTGTGTTTTAGCAAGCTCATACTGGTGGCATATGGAGAACCGTTTGGAGGGAAAGACTGGAGTCGGGAAAACCAGTTCAGCCCATCCTTTCCCCTCCTGACTGCACTGCCACCTCTCATATGACAGAGCTCCGTGTATTTCTGATCTGTATACTGTCCCTTCAGTCAGTTTGACATCCCTGTGCCAATATCATGCTGTAGCTTTTACAACAATTAACTTCTGTAGCTTTTACAACACTGTATCTGGTAGGGCCAGCCCTCTGATCTGTTGTTCCTCAGGGTGTGTTTGCCATTTTTGACCTTCTTCCAAACATGTTATTTTTTTTTATAAATTTATTTTTATTTATTTATTTTTGGCTGCATTGGGTCTTCATTTTGCTGTGTGCGGGCTTTCTCTAATTGCGGTACGTGGGCTTCTCGTTCTGGTGGCTTCTCTTGTTGCGGAGCAGGGGCGCTAGGCGCTCGGGCTTCAGTAGTTGTGGCACGCAGCCTCAGTAGCTGTGGTGCATGGGCTTAGTTTCTCTGCAGTATGTGCGATCTTCCCCGACCAGGGATCAAACCTGTGTCCCCTACATTGGCAGGAGAATTCTTTTTTTTTTTTTGCGGTACGCGGGCCTCTCACTGTTGTGGCCTCTCCCGTTGCGGAGCACAGGCTCCGGACGCGCAGGCCCAGCGGCCATGGCTCACGGGCCCAGCCGGTCCACGGCATGTGGGATCCTCCCGGACCGGAGCACCAACCCGTGTCCCCTGCATCGGCAGGCGGACTCTCAACTACTGCGCCACCAGGGAAGCCCGGCAGGAGAATTCTTAACCACTGTGCCATCAGGGAAGTCCCCAGATACATTTTAGAACTAGTTTGGGCATGCCCAAGGAAGAACCTTGCTGGCGTTTTTATTGGAATTTCACTGACTCTGTTGATCAATATTGGGAAAAATCGACAAGTTTACAATATGAAGCCTTTCTGTCTATGATTTTATGGTACGTCTCCTCATTTATATTGGCCTTTTTTAATGTCCTTTAGTAGATTTATAATAAGGGCCTTACATATATATTGAGATGATTAGTAATTTTGTCCATTCATCTGTTTCTCACATACAGAGCTTCTTTTGCAAATATTACAGTCTCTTGTTACTTCCTCATAGTTTGACGTTTTTATTTCTTTAAATATATTAAACACATATCTACTTCTAATAATTCCAACTTCTGCGGTCTTTGTGTCTGCCTCTGCTCTTTGAGTAACTCATTCTGAGTGACTTGTTTCCCTGTGTGTTTTGTGATTTTTTTTTTTAAATTGTAAGCACATGTTTCATGGAACCATACTTGTGATAATTTTTTTTTTTTTCTGGTAAAAATCACGTTTTCCTTTTAATTGACACCGTTTCCTCTCTCAGGTGCTACTTTGGTAATGATTAGGTCCCCACCTCTCAAGAACATTGCATCTGAACAGGCTGAGACAGAGCCAGTGTGAACACAGACCCCAAAGCAGGGCTTTCGGGATAACAAGAACAGAAAAAAACAGCCTTTCTCTTCACTTACAGAGGGAGTCACTCAGAGGGTCCAAAGCTCTGTTTTCCAAACGTAGAAAACGTGGAGCTCAATGCAAACTAGAAACCAAAATATATCAGAAATGAAGCAGA